AGCGAGAACTTCACGAGCCTCAGCTGGAATCATCGGACCGACCTTCGTACCGAAGCAATCGTGGAAACAGCCGCCAGGTTACGCGCCGCCAAGTCCCGACTGCAGTGGCTCAGGCAGCACCTCGCCTGAACGGCAAGCAGCTTTGCCTTCGCTACATATCGGCAAATGGCTGTCCTTCAAAGGTACCAGACCGCTGCACATACGAGTTTCTGGGCCACTTCACCCCAGATACTCTTGCACCGATTGTACAAGAGTACGTTGTGGAAAAATACGGCGGTCTCAGCTCCGAAAGGAGCAGTCGTTTTTGAAAAATGCGGTGTACCGGGACACCTGCATTCAAAAATAAGTATCGCGGTTGTTACAGCAGTTCAAGAGCGTCTTGAAGCGAACCTACGTAAGGATGAGGTCAAGCTCGTGGCACACAGAGCTTCTGCGTTTCGGAAAGCTGGTGTCCTGCTTCCCGCGTCCCTGATCTCACCAAGAACAGCTCAAACGCAGCCAAACTTCAATCCGGGATATCCGAAGTGGTGCGCAAACTACAACTCTCTCTGAGCGACACGATTCGATTTTGGAGGAGACAAAGTGATGAGGACCCGCGGTCGAACAAAGCGCTTCGAAGTGAACATTTCGTGGCTACTGCACAGCTTTCCACAACTACCGCTACTTCTAGACATGATTCAACATGGAGTCACGCATTCCTTTCGGCCAGTAACGCCGCCCACCAAGAGCGACCGCACTTCCAACCATAAGTCCGCTCGGACATGGAGCAATGCACTCAAACGAAGTGTCCGTGCAGGCCAAGACGCGGGGACGTACTTAGTAGTGGACGTCGATGCCGCTGCACCATGGCAAGACGTCCATATTAGCCCATTCGGATACGTCCCGCAAGCAGATGCAGACCCTAACGTCGAAGCGAGAGTTATTCACGACCTCTCCTACCCGTCTGGTAACTCGATCAACAACTACAGTACGAACACGTACATCAGCTCGCACGGAGGATCGAAGAGCTCAAAAACTGACGATCTTCCTGTTGAGTAAAACTCAAACGCGGTGACGTCAAATCAGCCTTTCGAAATGTACATGGCAGCTCCAAAGTGTGCGGCAGATTTGCAGGTTTCCTTCCTGATGAAAGAGCGGTGGTAATTGACCTGGCACTCCCTTTTGGTTGGATGGGGTCCCCAGCGCACTATGGAGTATTCGGAGCTGCAATAACCCACCTCGTTCACAACGAAAGCCCAGCTAGTCTGGACCCTAGCAACACAGACTGCGAGCCATTCTTTTGCTATACTTGGGTCGACGACCATGTATTAGCGGAAGAAGACCGAGACGACCGACTGGAACTATGTGAGGCAGCACTACGCCTCGCCATGTTGGCTATCCTTGGTCCTCGCTCCATCAATGAAAAGAAATTCACAAGATGGTCTACCCGATTGCGGGCTCTGGGACTGGACTGGGACACCGACCTACGCAGTGTGTTGATGCCCGAAGAGAAGATCGCGAAAGCACTCCTTCGCGTAAAGCGATGCTGCAGTACAAGTCAGCGACGCGGACACAGCTGTGCAAACTATTGGGATCTCTACGCCACGTGTGTTCGTGTATCCGATCAGCAAAACCGTTGTTCCAACGCATTGCATCTCTCCATAGGCGAGCTCCTCGCTGGGGCAAGATTACTATTTCCGAAGGTGCTATTCTCGATCTGCAGTGGTTTCAACACATTCTACAACAAGGTCGACTTTGCAGTGTTCCCCTCAAGTTCTTTGGAGATCTCCCTGCACCGGACGTCCAGTTATATATGGATGCCAGCGACTTTGGCCTCTGTGCTCTCCATCCAGCAAAATGCGAGTATATTCGCCTTCAGTTCGACGACGAAGAACGCCTTCTCATCCGACAAGGAAGACTGTCGATAAATATCCGCGAGCAACTCGGTGCTGTACTTGCCTTACTATGCTGGGGTCGCGAGTGGTGTCCTCGCACTACTTCCGAGGTGATACACGTCCGTTGCTGGATCGATAATCGCTCCGCAGTAGCTTGGTGCAACAATCTCAATAGTCGCGAACCTCTGTCACAAGAACTGAATCGAGTACTGGGATCGATTGAAGCACAGTGGGCGCTGCATGTGTCCGCCGAGCATTTACCTGGCGCAGTAAACACGATGGCAGACCTGGGCTCTCGCGCATGGGACGGACATCGACTAACAAAATGGAAATTACTAACCAAAACTTGGACGCAGATACCTATCTCCAACGCTATACGCAAGAGTTACTCAGCAAAATGGTCCGCCTTCAACAACGCTCCATCGCTGAATCATCTCAACGTCAATACAAAGGAACCTGGGAGCAGTGGAAAAGTTCTGTGAACACCTCGGAGTGTCAAAGTGGCTCCCGCAGCAAGATCCGGAAACACAATCACTACTACTGGTTGCCTTCACCATTCATTGCTGGTCCGGAGGAAATCAACACGGCAGAGCCTCGGCCAGTACCATTCAATCTAAAGTGTGCCACATTCGCTGGTATCATCGGGCATTTGCCGGATTCGAACCTCAACTACGACCGAACCACGCCCTCGCAATTGCTGGAATGCGACGAACAGGCCCAGCAACGAGGCGACGAGGTACCGTCACGCGGCAAATACTCGAATGGATCATGCGCCACCTTAACTTCCAACAACCCAGCACCGCGTTTTCGCAGGGGGCTGCGATACTGGGCTTTTTTTCTACTCCGAAGCGCGGAATACCTAGCTGTCAAGGGCCGAAGACGCATATACACCCTGCAAGTTCGCGATGTGATCCTCCAAGATGAGCTTGGGCTCCAAACATCAAGTCTGCACACAGCAGTATCCGTGGAAATCACATTGCGAGGGCAGAAGAATGACCAACAAGATCATGGAACTAAACGAGTGCTATCTCGTTCAGGTCATCGAGCTCTGTGTCCAGTTCTTGCAGGACGATTGCTAATGGAGAACGCAAGGAACTTGCAATTACGGCCTGAGGACCCAATCAGCTCAATCAAGGCGTCGACAATGCTGCCCGCCAAAACAATGTCCAAAGTACTGCATGCTGCAGCAAAAGCAACGGGGGAAGATGCCATGCTCTGCTCCTTTAATTCGCTACGACGCGGAGGTGCAACCGCCCTGCTGTCAGCGGGCGTCGACAGCACCGCCGTCATGCACGGAAGGTGGAAGTCTGACTCATACCAGCGATATACGTCGTACACAATCGAGTTGGGACGACAGCTTGCAGCCCAAATGGCGTTCGGGGGCTCCAGTACGGTGCAGCAAGCTGTACCGCGGCAGTGAGCTTATGGGGCACACGCTCCATGAGCGCGGCTCACATGCCCACACTACAACGCACTTGATGCTCCAATACATTGCTATTTGAACCCCCATGCCATACTTACTATGCTGGTGATGCTTGATTACAGCTAGTACTGACGTTGAAAATGATGCGTTACATAACGTGCATTTTGTACTGTTTTGTTGAAAACCGATCCCTAAAATACCCTGAAAACTATATTTTGAACG